GCTATGCTTACTCAGTCTGACTGGTAAGAACAGGGCAAGTTCCATGCTGAAGCTGCTAGCAATGTCACCCCTGTATTTGTCTGCCAAGCAGAAGGCAAACGCTACCTAGACACTGAAATCACAGTCTCAGTGAGCAGGGCTGTCCCACTGTCAGAAGGATATTGGTCTCAGAGGGCCACAGCTCTTCGCAGAAGTGTTGAGCAAACCACGGGGAAGGAACACTCCTGTCCCTGGGCAGCATCCCAGCCAGAGGCACAGGCTGGCATGGGTTAGCAGCACTGCCTCCTTCCTGCCTTGCGTCAGTAGAGGGCTGGTCAACCTAGCATATTTCAACAGCCCCAAACACTTCTTAGATACTTCAAAGATATTTAAAGCAAGCAAACAAAGAAAAACAAACAGGCTGGGAAACATAAAAGCTGGTTTCTGCTATCCCTAATTGATCCAAGGGTTCAAAGATTCCTGTGAAGAAGGCAAGCTCAAAACTGCATTGAAGATGCAAAGACCCACATTCAAAGCCACATGGAGCAGATTACAGCTCAGGAAAGAGAGGGTTTCATGCCCACTCAGGCTCCGCTGCCCACTTCACCACCTGAGAATACAACCTGAAGCACACAGGGATGTGCATTACCCAGCACAGAGGCTCCTGAGCACCAAGCAGACTCACCTTGTGCCTACCCTTTTTCAGCAGAAGATGTACAGAGAGCAGGGGAAAGGCAGGCTCACGGCCGAGTCCTTTCCTGCCCTCAGACCTTGTTGAGCACAGCTGGGCAGCAGTGTCTGCATACTGCAAACAGTACAGAAACCATGCCAGGAACCAGCTTACAATGCTCTGAAAGCATCTACATGCCAACGCCTTCTGGAACACCTACATCCCTCCCCACCTACACCCAGCTGCCAGGAGAGGTGTTGCTTAGTGTCTCCTAACACTACTGCTGCCATCAGAGATGACGACCAAGGCTGTCACACTGCTGAGAACAAATGAAAAGCAGCCAGAGTCAGTTTTCGCTTTGGAGAAGCACTGATGCTTGGCGAGCGCTGCTCTCTGCCTTCTGTCCAGCACCTCCAACCCTTTGGTGGTGGGTGAGCCCCTTCCCCACACTCCCCTCCCTGCTGGCAGGCTGCCCCGGATGGTGCCAGCCTCCAGCACGGAGAGCTGGCAAGGAGGAATTGAAGAGAGGAACGCTGCAAGGCAGTGCTCTTGTTTACTTACACCAGAGACCCAAGTTGCCCAGGCAGGCACTGCCACCAGGCTCGGTCTAGGAAGGGCTCAGCTCCATGCTCCTGATGCACTGCTACCTGCAGAGTGCTAGGCACAGCCAACTTCTTGCTGAGCAGATGCTGAACCCTCAGCTCAAACCCATTAGTCTAGAAAAAGGCAGCCAGCAAGGCTGGCACGGGCAGCCAGTGCTCCCACCCTGCATCCAGCAGTGCTGCCGAGGGCAGAGCTGGCTGTTCACACCGTGGAGGATCTCCCAGCACAAGGCAGCACTTCTGGTTGTTCACGGTTGCTGTCACTGCTACAAAACAACTCCCTGATAGGCACAGCAAGTTCCCTTACTTCTCTCCAAAGGCAAAAGCCTACTAGTACTCGACGCTTAACTTACAGTGTGTGAAAGAGGGCAAGAGCAGTTTTCAGGGCCACATTTTTGGGTGTTTGGAGAGACAGACATAACCTCTGTTTTTTTGCTTCATGTTTTAGCTACTCTCTAGCTTCTTTTGGTTTGTTGCTTTAAGCTCTCTCTGTTTGCATTTCTTGACAAGGTCGTTGCTTTCACAAGACTTTTGCAGCACTGCCCCACTTCCCTGGCCTCCAGCTTTGTTTTCTGACATCCAATTGCTCTCAGAATATTAATTAAAATCACAAAGAGCTCAGGAAGAGAGGTCAAAACAGCAGAGGAAAACGTCAGACAGTCCTTCCTCCCCCAAACCCTCAGAGGAGTGCAATGCCCAAGACTTAGAAGCAAAAGTAACCTGTAAAAGACATCATAGTCTGATGGTCTGGCTCAGGGTTTCTCAGCCAATGGTACAAATTTTCCCAGAACTAAAGTTTGCTATGAAACTTTATTCTACCTGTTTGATTAATCTATTTTATAACATACCTGCCCTATCAGATGATTTTAGCATCCTCATGAATATGCAGGCACTTTATAAGCTTAGGCAAGGAAAACAATCTGAAGGGAAAAAGATCTGAAAGCTCTCTTCACCATGAGATTTGTTGACATCAAAAGGCATGGCTGGTTCAGAAGTCAGCTTGAATCTCAACTCTTTCACCTGCTTCCTATTACAGAAACAGATGTTCCTCTTGCTGTAAATTGCTGCTATTAATAATATAAATAATTAGGCTTTTCTAATCATTTAATAGGTGCACAGGAGGATATCAAAGCTCCTGGCAGCCATTAAATACATCTACCTTCTTCTCAAGGGCTCAGAGGCACATTGGTGGCCTCTCTTATCCTCTACTGAAGTTCAGAATGAGAGAGCTACAGCCAGAATAAAAGCTAAGGAGAAATCAAGGGAGCCAAGCTCCTCTCCACAGCCTGCCCTGCAGACCCATCCTCCTTCCAAATCTCTACACGACAGGGACAGCACTTTTCCCACCAGAGATACATATGTCAGAGCCCGCACGTGACTAAGCACTGCAATGCTCACACTCCCTTCCTCATGCAAGATGCTGCTGCGTAGCCCCAGCTGATTTTTACCTCCCCAGCAGGTTCCCAGGATCTGGCGAGGGGCAGCATCCCCCACATCCCACCGGCTAGGGAAGCCCTACTCTGCAAGGGAACCTGCCCCGGGCACTGCGGTCCCTCCCTGTACTGCAAGCCTCAGTCATTTGCGGGCTGCCCTCCAGAGAACACTTTGTCCCTCTGATGACAACAGCCCCAGCCTTGGGAACATGAGCAATGACACCACAGACTAATGAGGTCACTGCAACCTCCAGTGAACACTGCCCCTGACTACAGCTGCTCAGCCCCTCTTCCCACCCTCCAGCCATCATGCACACAGACCGGCATGGCTCTGTCAGATGAGAGAAAAATCACGACTGGCTCCAGATGTTAACACAGCACAGGCACATCTGGATCACTGGAGGGCAGCAAGCAGCCCGCAGGCCACATGCTGGCTCTGCCTTGCCCTGCCTCACCTTCAGAGTTAAGCCCAGTGACTGATCAGGCTTGCCACATGCCTTAAGCAGAAGTCCCAACCCTTCAGTGCCACATGCTCTCAGAGCCTCGTGCTGCGAGATGTGGTGGGGCTGTGTCACCACCTGCGTGGGGGACACTGCCACGTGCCAGGCTCAGCTCTCCCCAAGAAGGGCTCTGCTCAGACTGAGACCCTCCCTGACCCCCAAGGCACACGGCCTTGCCTGCAGTGGGACACCAGACCAGTCCATAGCAGGTTGCATTCAAGCTCAGATTCCAGGGGGAGTGTTATGAGTGCAGAGACCCTCTTGCATTGTTGTTTTTGTTTTGTTTTGTTTTTTTAATTATTTCCAGCAAAGAAAAGGCTGTGCACTCGTGGTTATGCAATACGGTCAGAGCTGCAGAGCCCCCCTCCCAGGTAAATTTGGCCTGACTCCTTCCCGCTGCAGCTCTTCCACACAATACACTCACGGACCCAAACGTGTCTCAGCATACAGTGCTCTCACGCCCATGCGGTCCTTGGCGCTGCCCTCCTGCACCCCTCATTCCCCAGCCAGAGGGACCTGGCACCCCATCAGCTTGTTTCCTCCACGCTTCACTCTGTCCCAGGAGCAGCAGCAATATCAAGGTTAATTTCCTGTTCCCCTTTCAGAGCAAAATAATTTGCCTAACAAGGTGCCAGGAATGAACAGAAGGCTCTAACTAATAAGGTTCCCAGCAGTTATAAAGATGGACCTGACATGCAAAAGGAGGCTGGGGCAGCCATTGTGGCCCACATGACCTTTGGGGAAACAGCTCAGCTCCAGTGCAGCTCCTGATGGAGCACAGCAGGGCATGCTGGCTCCCTCACCCACAGCTTGACTTCTCGGGAAAAGGCTTAGTACTGATGTAACACTCTACACCTTCGCAATCGATACAGAGAGCAAACGCACAGCCAGTCTTCCTCCCAGAACACCATGCCTCAACTCAAGCATCATCTTCTCTATGCCAGTTCTACCAACAGGAAAGAGAACACACTGCCTGAGAAAACATTCGCACTAACAAGGTCACATTTAATCAGCCAGCACCTCCTGGGACGCGGCTTCGTCTGTGTGAATTAATAAGTCTGTCCACAGCAACAGAGCAAGCAGCTAGAAGCGCCCCATGCCAGGCACCCACCAATGTCTGCAGTGGGCAGTTCCAGGGCAGGCAGACGGTCCCCAAGCTGGGGACAGACGTCAGGTTGGCAGGCTGAGAGCACGCTGTGGCGAGGACTCAGCTGTGTTCTCCTGCTCCCTGGGGAGCAGAGGCACAATGACCCAGGGCCAGTGTGGTGAGTAAAGCCATTTTGTCTGCTGTGACCAAGTCTTGCCACATCTTTGTTGCCAAGTGGGGCATCACTGCAGGTGTTCCAGGGGTGAGACAGCACCCGGCATGCTGATGCTTACAACCTGCCTTCAGCCCATGCTGTCGGCTTGTTCCTTGGGTGCTAATCAGAGGGAGAGCAGCCAAAAATCCCTGCCAGTCAATTTCTGAAAGCTTGCTTTATCAGTCAAATCAGTTAAAAGGGCCCTGCAGAGCTTTAAAAGAGACAAAAGCTGATTTGCTGCTTAGCACATGGAATTTCATTCCCAATGCAGATTAATTCCATTAACTCATTCTGTGCCCTCTTTGGGGCAGATCCTTCCCTGCCCTTGCAGCTTATGGAAAGTACAGAGAAAACAAACCAGTGTCCCTTGTGGTAAAGGCACGTGATAGCCTCATCTTGCTCTGGAATTCGTATTTCCTCACTTCTTGCCCACTTTGCAAACACCTCCCCTCCCCACACACCATACCACATCTTTCATGAGACCTTTCAATGCCAGCAAAAGCCCAGAAACTCACCTTGTGCTTCATAGCCAGAATAGTGATGAGCTGTACCCATGTCCTCATCCCCGGGGCCCAAGCCAAGAGCTGACTTGAGCTGGGCCATGTTCACCTGTGCTGTCAGCTCACCGTTCCGGTCTCCAATCTACAGGGTGAAAACCAACATGGCAGCTAGTTAAAAGGCAACATGCTCTAAGCAAAGAGCCCCTAGCAAAGGGCTTGCCAGTCCCATATCAAAGTAGACAGACAGACAGAAGAGAGCTTGGAGACACCCTGAGAGATCCTACAGCTCAGCTTTCAACACCAAACCAACTCTCCAAAACTATTCCTCAGTGGCAATTTGGGAGAGGGTCCATGCCTACTGTGCTGCATACTGGCTGCACCTCAAAATGCATTTCAGCAGAGTTTGGTACATGGAACTGAGGGGGCACAGCTCACCCACTGCTACAGAATTGCGACAGAGGTAAACGTGCACATCTGGTCCGTCCTGTAGCCCCATATAGCTTGCGGGAGAGCCCCAAAACTCTCAACCCCCTTCCTCAAGTATTTCCGTAGTTACTGAGCACCAGACAGCCACACTACTATTAGCCACGTGGGCAGTGTCACACTCATGGCTCGGATGCTCTGAAAGCCCTTCTCTTCTGGCTCAGGTCCATACAACTTTTGAGTTGTTCCTAGTGATCTACCCACACAAGACTCCAAAATCTTTTGAAGTCCAAATTTTTCCAAATCCCCATCTCTCACTGGCCTGAGGCCAAGGAAGACGATGTTACGTGTTCAGGAAGTGATCTTTCCAGCGACTCCTACTACTTAAACTGGGGAGTATAAGATATGCTGCTGGGCTCTCCTCAAAGTTTAACCAAACAAGAAAATTACTGTGCTGCATATCACCAGCGAACAGAGAGGTCACTCAGAAACAGCCTCTAATCTTTAGAGGAACAGCAGCCTCTGTTACAGAGGAAGACCTTGGCTGTTGCCTTGGAGAGGCCTGGCTCCCTATTAAATGCCTTGCAACAGCTCTTTTGTAGTCCTTTGAGACAGACTGCAGTGTGAGCCATCCTAGAACAAAATCATAAATCCCCACATTATTTATGACAAAGCCCCAAGCACTAGTAAACAGAAGAAGATCAAACAGCTTATCATCAGGCATAAATCCCCCGCCAATTACAAGAGATTTGCTGTTGACATCATCTCCAGAGAAATTAGTATGTCCTGGTCAGGTCTCACAGTCCTTGATGCTCTCTGTTCAATGCTTCCCTGACTTCCACTCATTCCACATCCTCTCCAAGGCCCTATTAACATCAGACACACACTGGCAGGACAACGATCCCAGGCTGGACCTATCGCACACACCATAGCAGAGCCCTGTTTTCTGCCCTCAGCTCTGATTTCTCCGTTTCCCAGGAGCCCCCTGCCACACGCAGAGATGGGAAAGGTACCCCGGGGCAGTGGCCGAGAGCTGGGACAGCTCCCAAGGTTTTTCGGTACGCATCTTTCACTCCAGCTGTTTCAGAAGACATTTTTCAGTAACCTTTGATCACCCTGCAGCAGCTCCCAATGTGCTTACCCTGAGCAGATTTCATTTGGATTCAAATGTCACCACCAGATTTATGCCAGAGTAGAAGGGGGAAAAGGTGACGGGATGTGAGCTAAACACATTAGTGTGCAAAGGTTTAACTTCAATAGGTTTTTCCTGGGCAAAATGCTGGTGTTTGCCCCAACAGCAAACAGCTCACTTGGTTCCCAAGGCTAAAGGAAAACATCAGCTTTAGAACAGAATCACTAGCTGCTAGCAGCTAATGCAGGCTCTCCTCACAAGCGGACAGGACAGTCTCTGCACTGCTCCATAATTAATGATGTGGGGCAGTTCATTAGCCACCTGCCATGAGTAACCTACTCCTGACATGCCCTGTAACCACACCCATCACCCCAGAATGAGAACACCACTGTGAACCCCCACCCTGTCGGGTTTCCCCTCCACCCCCCGAAGTCACCAGGACCACTACTGCTCCCGTCCTACCATCACCCCTCATCTGTGCTGCACATCGCCGAGCTGCCATCTGGTTCTGAGCAATCAGCCCCACGCTGCAACAGTCCTAGCAGACTAAAGCTGGAAAAGTTAATTTGTCCTAAAATGTACAGGGCCAAAGAACAGTGTTTTTTCTGCATGTCTGATAAGTATAATTAAATACATAATAAGGCTGGTATGTCAGCCCTACCCCAACATTTAGCCAACCTAATAGACAGGCAGGAGAACACACAAAGCACTTACATATGCTGATTCCAATTAGTGCTTCAATAGGGCAATTTCTTCATCTGAGGAAGACTAAAGAGGCCACAGCTCATTTCCTCATAACACACTGGAAAGAGCAAACAATGGTATTCTTGCTTTCTGTACTTCTGAGCCACCTAAAAATGCCGTATGTTTTTGCACCAGGAAAGTTGCAGCTAGCTGGGTGAGCACATCTGTGAAAACCAGAGTAGCTGCACGCATGAAACCCCAAATGGTGTGGCAGCAGGACAGGGCTAGCTTCAGGCTGTGCTTGTCCAGTGTCAGCAATCGATTGTATTAGGACAATGCTACAGTTCACCACTTCACAGCTGGGATCCTCCACCAGCTTCACTGAGAGGAAATAACTTGTCACGTGTACACTCTGTTGCAGTGCAAAATACAGCAGGTTTAGAGCACCCAGCCACCCGGTAGAAGTTGGCCTTGTTTTCTCCAGGTACTTAACTTGCCAGCAAATTGGGTTAGACCACAGCTGCAATCACACAAGGTCCATCTCAGTCAGGATCTCACAGCCTTGTGCTCAGGAAAGGGCGTTCTTACTAACAGACTGGACACCAAGCGGTATCCAAGTTCCTTCACACCAGCTGAGTGCACAACACCTTGGCCAGCAGACCAGGCAACTAGCCTCCAGGTCCTTTCTTTCCCAGGAGTATCAGTTAAGAGCAATGTACAGCAAATGCATTAGCTGTAATTAAGGGGAAGGCTGGGAGCCTCCCATGAAAAGAATATTTTCCAGGCAGGCTCTGCAGCTCCTAAAGACACCATTGAAACAGCACATAGACAAGGGCTTTACAGAGCAGTCACAGCAAAAGAAGAACTACATTAATATAACTTATTGGCATAAAATAAAGTCTCTCAGCAGGGAGGACTGATTCCCTCTGACCTGAACCAGCTTCTCTTACCTCTTGGGAGATTTCAAGATGCTTCCTTGCAAAGTGCAAAGCTTGTTCATGGCTCCCCAGGGAGACATAGGCATTTCCGAGACTCCAGCAGGCTCTTCCTTCTCCCACCCTGCAAAACAGGAAACTGTCAACCACAGAAATGCTGGGCAAAACCCAGCAGCACAGCAGCCCTTTCAGGGCCTCCTCCTTGACAGCCAGGCCTCCTAGCTATGCCTTCACCTACAGAAGGGCTCTGCAAAGGAAAATGAAATGCACTGTACATCTTAAAAACCTCTTCTCATGCTGAGGTCAGAGGATGAGCAACAGCCTCAGAAATGGGCCTGCACCCACGATGTAACAAGGGCACAGAATGGTGTGGCTTCATTTTGTGAGCACCAGTCCGAGAGCAGAAGCCAGAGCTCCCGTCCAGCTTCCACCCTGCACAGCACGGCTTCCTCTCCAGAAATGCACAATGCATCAAGAGGGCATGTAACATCCAGCCCTTCTGTTCAACAACACCCCAGAGCTGGATTAACAAGAATGTGGCAAGGAAGATATATTGCAGGCATGCAACGTTCTCTTGCTGAATAACCAGCACTGTGTCATCTGGGATGCATGCACGAACTGAAACTGCATACAACAGCCACGCAAATATTGCCCAGTTTCTACAAGACCTTCAGGATGCTGCTGCTTGTTTTCATAAGCCAGAGGAAGCAGGTGAATGTGAAACCTGCCCTGGGCAGCCCTCACCCCCGGCCCAGGACAGGCACCCAGGTGTCTCTGGAGCAGCTTTCAGCAGCTGTTTGCACAAGCAGGCAGAGACCTACTGCGCATCAGAGCCTGCTCAGCTCTGCAAACGAGCAGATGTGGGGGGTGATGGGATAAAAAAAGCACATGGGGGCGCAGGGGGAGGTTCAGCGTGACTGCAACTCCCTTTTCAGAGGTTTGGGCGGGATGATCAACATTTAAACATTTTTCTTGTCATCCCGTTCAATACCTTCTGCTCATAGGGTGTGTTCCCAGAAAGGCAGGAGTCCACAGGCCTGCACCCCCACAGCATGATTCAGCCTTGGGTGGGATTATACCTTCTCTGAGCAGATACTGCCCGGATAGTGCCACAAATCTCCCATTTTAATGTCTCTGCTCCATCTAGTGGAGGACACCCAGATTCCCAAGAGCCATCAGCACTAACACTGAACAAGGTGGCTGCAAAGTCATTCAAGCTGCAAGAAGGCTCCAGGAGTACAGAAAGAATATCCAGGAGAAAGGCACCAATCTCTCTTAAACAATATATTAAGAAATTAAAAAGAGGCCAAGCCTCCTAAAGAAGAAAGAGTGAGGTCAAGAAGTAAAGTATATCATCTCCACATGCTCTCCGTAACATCATTTGTTTCTATGTGGAAATGTCCAGCATCATCTCAGAGCAACAGGACAAGTGGCATGTATGTATGTATGTATACCCTAACCACACAGTTTCTAAGATAACAATTTTTGTGAGCTTGAAGTTTTAGAGGGGCTATTGTGGGATAAAACAGCAGTAGCCTCATGGCAAAGCACTGAATACAATGCATTTTCTTGAAGTACCTCTTATTAGAAATCTCACTCAGCCCACACAGACATAGCTTTAAGGGCACAGTCTCTGCATTTGAGTGACATGATAAAGGTGTCAATCATGTTACAATTTTTGAGTGGACTAAAGCCTGGATTCTGATAGATTTCTAAAGACTTTCAGGAATACATGTCACTGCTCCTTAGCCCCAGCAGTAGAGGACAGTAAGTAAATAGGGAAGGGCCAGTGCTTTGAAGCCATCAGAGGACAAACACCATCTCCAGGGGCAGTTTCTTACCTGTCTCCCAGCTCCTGTGCTATCACCAGATGTTTTAGATGGTACTCGATTGCTCTTTCATAGTCTTGAAGCAGTGTGTAGGTATTTCCAAGACTGTAGCAAGCCTGGGCTTCTACTGCTTGGTCTTTGAGTTGTCTGGAGAGCTGGAGCGTTTTCCTGCATGGAACGGGTGGAAATGAAGAGACCTGGTCACTGCAGGGTACCCCTGCATGGCAACAGGAAAGTCACCACGTTGAAGTTGATGCCTGTAACACACCACAGGCTGTCAGGTGGCTGTATTACTTGCCACCGCTGAGCACCACACACACAATTGGCCTCCAGGTCCCTTGTCACATCCCCCTAAGCCTATAAATTCCCTGCAATAGGTCAAGATTTCCAGGGAACACGTGCCCTGAGTCTGCCTTAGCCCCTGGCACTTACTTGTAGTACTCAGCAGAGATGTCAAACCTCCCAAGGAAGATGTGTGCATTGCCCAGGTTGCTGTACGCTCTCCGCTCCGCTGCCTTGTCCCCAAACTCCTTAGCAATAGCAAGGCGCTGCAGCAGACACAGGTTAGTGAGTACAGGCGGGCCATTGCCAGGTTTGTTACACAGCAACTTTTTGGGGAGATTAACTTCTTGGTTTGCAAGGCTCCCACCCAGCAAGGTAGCGGTGCACATGCCTATCAGGGCTGGACGCAGCAGGAAACCTCTCCCTCTTCTGCAACTCAGGATCATGAAGGGCCTTTGGAAGAGCGGGAGCAATACCACACCCTCCTCTAACTCCTACTCCAGCCTGATCAGTACACATCTCTCTAGCTGAAGTGCGAAAGGAGTTATGCACATACTTCAACAGCCGAATAAAGAGGCAAACTGAGAGCTGTAGGTCAGGCTGTGAAGGGATGTGGTTGATCAGTAGACTAATGTGCAGGAAAACAGTTGTCACTTTGCACGGTGCTGTGGCACAGAATGAGCATGCACATGCGTGCGCTCCATTTCACTGTCCGCGCTGCAGCTGCTCCCCAGACCTCTGCCCTTACCTGCACCTCAGTCCTGCCTCTCCTCTCGCGTTCCCCTGCTCCCCATGCTTCCCCACCTCTCACCCTCCACTTTGCAGCACCTGAGCCTGGTCTCAAATACTGCAGAGATTTTTCCTGCCCTGATTCAAGCCCCTTCTCCCAAAGCACTGCTGGCTGCTGTCCTCCAGCATTTAAAAGTCAGAAGAGCTGTGACAGCGCTGGCTTTCCAAGACGCTGAGCACCTTTCACTGAAAGGAAGCTGATTATATTCTGAACTAGACGCTGAACTGCATTGAATTGGGGCAGGGACTGTGTCACACCTGTAAAGCTTTACAGAAAGTTATTATGTTCTACAAGCAACATTTATTCCTGATCAACAGATCTTTCAGCAGCTTAATTAAATTCATAGCTTGCACTTATTAAAATCTAGACCGATACACATTAAGAACAGAAGAACCTTGCTAGGCCCAGCTGCAATTTGCCCTTAGATTTGCCTTTAGTTTCCAAGCCAACAGCACCCTTCCCTCAAACCTCTCATTAGGTGCTGATGGGGATTGGAGTACAATGTTGCTCAGCATGAGTTCATAAAACAGGTACCCTGAGGTACACAGAGGAGGGAGAAAAAACAGCTGCGGGCAAATGCCTCGCTGTTGCTGTGGTGAGAAGAAAGGCTGCTCCCTGACAGCCAGTCTCAGCCCCTGACCCCAGGAAGAAGGCGCAGCGGTTTCCTACCTCCTTGTGGAAGGCTATAGCTTCACTGAAGTTGCCAAGTAAATACTGGGTGTTCCCAAGGTTGCCATAAGCACGGCCCTGCGCAGCTCTGTCCCCCAGCTCCTTTACCAGGGACAGGTTCCTCCTGAAAGAAATCAGAGCAGTATGTCTGGTGAGACACAGTGCACACTTTTGCACCATAAAGGAGAACTAACCCTGGAGAAGGCATATCCCCTCCCCAACTGCCTATCCTGTGCACCCCTTGGCAGGTGAAAGCCTGGTGATCTACACTAGCTGCAGCTCTGGGAGCTCATACAGATCCAGTGGTCTAAGTCCCTGCTGTTCTCTCAATCTCAGGCAATCCGCAGCTGTGTACAGGAACTGCTCACACACCCATGACCTGATAGGATCCCATGTTATGCAAGAAATAGCCACCTCACTGTACAAGGGAGAACCAGGAGCATAGGAGAAAGGAGATTACCTAAAGCAGGACAGGGACAAACCTGGGGAGAGGGGCAAGATCCACAGTTTCATGCCAGGGTTCTGCTCAAGGAGTTTCCCAGCATTTCTTTACTTTGTTTTTTCCCCCCTTTACACCTACAGCACACATCAGGAAGCTTAGAGCTCCAAGTTGGCACAAATTTACCCACTGGCTATGCTACAGGCACCATTCTTTGGAAAAAGGATAGTGAGTTATATTTAGGCACTATCACATCCTCAGATATGAGAAGACGGAGATAAGATCTTGTCATTCTCTTCATTTAAAATGGCTACTTAAAAAACATAAAATATTGAAGCAAAACTCTGATGTACGAGGAGAAAAACATTAAGCTCAAAAGTCTTGTGTCAGCCTTCCTTTGTGGGACATCAGAGTGATCTCTGAAACTACTTAGCAAAGGGAAGGATGTTACAAGCAAGATAAACTATAGATCTATGAGGAGGACAACCAGGACTTTAAGTGAAAGTCTCTTCCCTTGAGTGAAGGAAAGTCTCTCTTAGTAGCTCCAGTGACAGACACACACAAGGATCCTTCTCATCAAGGCCAGCAGAGAGCAGCAGGGGCTACAGGAGCTAACAGTTTAGCTTCCAAATACAGCTCCAAGAAGGAGCAGACTATTGAATTTAATTGCACGATCATACTTCAAACTACACTGAGTTTTACCAAGGCAACGCCAGGATGAATTTTAGCTCTGATTTTATAAAAGCTTACAGTCCCTCTGTCACCCTCCTTGAGATTAATTTGCCATCATAACTTGGCATCTCAGGGGAATATTCCTAAATTTGTTACAATATGCAAAATCTCATTCAGTGGCCTGAGTTTCAATGATGCTGAGCCCACAGTCTCATTCATTGCAACAAACATCTTCCAGAGCTCCCACATCTTCAATGGCCCAGGAAACAAACCCTGCCACGAGAAATGCTTCCAACAGGACTCAGTAAAAATTGTCCTCTTGCACCCCATACAGCTATCATTAGCCTAATGGTTATCAGAGCTCAGCTAACGTGCAGACCCTGAAAGCTGTCAGCAGAACAGGAACACCACAAATACAGATTATGATCTGAGCAGGATGAGCTCAGTGAAGGTGTACCTGTGTGCATTTCAGCAGTTACTGATGCCTGACCAGCCCTGTTCCCTGCAGGAGGAAGGGTTGGCCAAGTTTGAATACTTACTCATAATACTCTGAAGCTTTCTGTAGTGTCTCCTTGACTTCTTGTGGCAGGTAGCCTGGGTCTTGGGCCGTGTTCCAAGATAAGTGCTTTCCCTTTGCATGGTAAACATTTCCTATATTATAGAGTGCTCTGGCTTCACCTACCTAAAAAGAGGAAGAACAGGGAGCAGCAAGGTGTCATACTTCACATCCCAACATAGACCTTTCCATTGCTGGCAGAGGTGGTCAAAGCCAGGGGGCCCACATTTTACTTTCCCATCTTCACTGTCACGGCAGCTGTTACTGTCAGCAGCATGAGACCTGTGATGCTGTCAGATAGGAGAGCTTTATGCTCCACCTCCTTCCAAAGCCCACCTTTACTGACTTGCAAACAGATTATTTTTAAAGCTAGAAAATATTTCCTGTTGGATGCCATGAGCCAATTACCTTGTCTCCCTGCTCCTGAGAAATGTCCAGGTGTCTCTGGCAACAAACAACAGCTTCATCAAACTGACCAAGTATTTTCAATGTGTTCCCAAGGTTGCCACTTGCCTTGGCTTCTCCAATGCGGTCCCCGATGGTTCTACAAGATGACCAGAGGGAAGACCAGAGGTGTTAAAGAGCTCGCAGACTTTTATTCACCGACTGTTGGAGGCAAATTCAAGCTGCAGCAAGTACTGCACGGAATGTACACCACATCCGGCAATTTATGTACACCACATCCAGCAATTTCCAGCACACATGCCTGACTGCCATGCTTCATACAAGCTCTCTCAACTTTGAAGACAGATTCTTGGTTTTGCTGCCTCAGGTTAGTTGCTCTAATGACTTCAGGTGTACTTACAAGTACGTGGGGATAGGAGAACTGGACACTGCCCTGCTCGTGCTCCAAGCACCCTCCTCACATCTGTATCCCTTTCTCCACCTCCCTGCTCTGAAGGTGGCTGGCCCATTCTTGTTGCCTCCCAAGTTCTGCACAGGACAGTCACCCCATGCCTTAGGGCTAGTTTTAGATGCTTATTCCTGGGGCAGATTTCCTCAGGCTGCTGGTTCAGACCCCATGCCTTCACTCACACTCTGAATAGGTTGTGTCTAATTAGGACAAAGCACTGCTGCAATGCTTACCTGGCCAGGGTAAGGTCGTGCTTATGGTACTCCAGGGCCCTGGAGTACTCCTTTAGGTAGAAATAGGCATTGCCCAGCTGACTGTAGATGGCACTGAGAGTCTTCAAGTCCTCTGTCCCCACCTGCACCGCTGCTTCAAAGAAAGCTGCCCCAGCTTTGAAGTCCCCAGCTTTGCACAAGCGCTCTCCCTCCAGAGCCAGTTCCAGGCAGGATGCCTCCATTCTGCCAAAAGCAAGACCGTCATTTCTAGAGGAGTTAGACTGCAGTGCACCCATGCTGCTATGCAACGGTTAGAGTTTACTTCATTGTACACCTCACTGCACCAGAAAAAAGCCTACAAAAAAACCTGGAGGGAGCCACCCTCCAGGCAGCTGCTGCCTCCCTGCATTCAGCCCCAAGCACCAAGGCACTGGCTCTAGGCCAAACGCTGTTTGGGCGATAATAACTCAGGGACACACAGCTGGCACACCTCAGTGGTATGGACACCAGCTTCCAGTGGATGTGGTGGGCACGCAGTCCCTCTAAGAAACCAACCTCCTAGGCATGAGACACAGGAGCATCCAGATTTACAGACCATGCGGGCAAGTGGCCAAAGGCAGACCCTGGGTTCCAAACAGGAATCCGGACAAGAAACTCAGGACTCTTAGCTCACAAAATGCACATTCACATCACAAGAGTAACATGGCATCTGCCGTTCTTCCAGGCTGTGCACAGTGCTGAAGCCACGTACCCAGGCTATTCATGCCTGCACCACTTTCCCCAGGGTAACAGAGGGGGTAGCCAAATTGCAACACATTGTTATTGGATACCAGAGAAAACCTTGGACTGTGCAGAATTTCTTGGCTGAGTAGCTTCCAATGCTCGGTGTCTGCTTTTCATTAACTCTCCTGCTGTCACTTTTTCCACAGGCACTCTGCACATGAGCCTCTAGACTAGCTTTCCTCCCTTGCATTTCTTGACACCTTTGGCAACAGTGCATGCCATGCTGTCAGTGAGCATTCTGCAAGCCAGCAGAGAGGAGCGAGACCAGCGATACTGCTTCAAGAGAAAGGAAACGTGCTCTTCTGAGTGCTCCACCACGTCCTAAGTTACAGCTGTCCCTGTTAGACCATGTGTATCCTCCAGTTCTCAGAAGGGACAGAGAACACATTTGAAAGTTTACGTTTGGAAGCATCTTGCCTGCTGCAAAGCCAGCCCCTTCACGAGGCAGATGGGCACAGAATGTCCCTGCTCCTCTACTCAGATGACTCTCTTGGCTCTTTTTGGCTTTTTTATTTCTGCTCAATGTATTTTTAAAAGTCAAAACTATCTAGGTCAAAGGTGGACATCTGCTGAGAAAAAGCATAGTCCATTTGTCCAGAGTCAGAAAAGCAAGGGTCAGACAAAAGATAATAAATGTCCAAAGGTGGTTTCTATTCCGTTCTCAGTCAAAGAGCACTTGCAGAAAGCTTGACTGTGGTACCCAGACTAAGAGAACTAAGTGTTCATTATCACTGCAATAGCAGCAGCCCAGCTGACATCTCCTGTAGCAGTTTCCTGACAAGCCCTAGAAGATCCTTCCCCCAAAGCCATCCTTGCGATGAGGCCAAGGCCCAGCCTCTGCAACCGGGGTCTCTGCAGACCAAGGCTGAGGTGTGCTGGCCAAGCCAGGGCACTGCGCTGCTCTGGCTTCTCTCCCTGTGAAGACCACCTGCCACCGTGCACCCAGCCACCCCCCGTGCACACTCACTTCAGGGCGGACTTCCTCCTGCTCCAGGTCTGCGCTCCAGTATCTTCTGCCCAAGTCTGCACCCAGCATTTGCCTCCCTGTCAAAGGGGCACGGGGAGATGCACGTACGAAATACCAATCCTGATCCATTTTTCCTACCAACAGGCAGAACGGTGTTTTCTCAGCTGCCAGGAAACAAAGCCAGTTCCTCTATGAGCAGTGCATAAACTTTCTAAAATCCAACCCTATTTGCCTGGCAATCTCCCTGCTGAGTCGGCTCCGTATGGCTCCAAACACCCAACGCTTGGCAGCCCAACAGCATCCTCCAAAGCAGGACAGCCCACACAGGCTGTCCAAACAGACAAAAGAGCTGGTTTCAGACTCTCCCTCCAAACACACTTGTGACCTCTCTTGTCTCACTGTTCATTTGCCCCCAAAGCTACCGAGTAACAAGAGGGAGAAAGGGATTGTGAAGCAGCTCATTTGAGCTCTCACCTTAAACTCCCACACAAATATTTGATTTCAAGCTCACTGCAAAGCCCACATTTGAGCAGCTATTTTACTTGTGCAAGACGACTGCTTGTGGTGCCAGTGCAGCATCAGTCCCTGCCTCAATTTCTGTTTAATAGGGGAAGTAAAAATATTAAGGCTGTTAATACTAAAAGCGTTTAACTCCTCTCTATTGATCCTCTTGCTAGACCACATGAGAATTAGTAAGAATGAGCTGCTGCTACAGAATGTTGAGTTAGACCCATTTGGGGATCATACCAAACTCCCATCAGTCCCCAAGGCACATTCATGGTTTGTGGATCACCAGAGTGGTTATCTAGTGTCATCATCAGGTATTGACAAGTCTCTGCTGACACATCCCAAACAGCGTAAAGGCGGCTTAGGACTGAAAAAAGACAAGGAACACCTTATACTCAAATCAGCAAGATTAAATTCAGGCAGCTTAGCAGAGATGAGTCTTGAGACAACTTGAAATGCAAGAATGAGCCACTATCACAAGAATTAATGTTGGATTCCAGTCAGAAGACAGCAGACACATAAGCAAATTTCAAAATAATTTCAGTTCAAATTTCAACACAATTCTTCCCAATATCCAGGTTCTCTTTAAGAAACTGAGCTCACACACTGTAAACAGTCTAAAAAGTGAGCTGAAGACCAATTTCCCCAATTCTTGGCATTGTAGTCTAGCTCAGCTCAAACTTGCGTGATTTGAGTAGCTTGAAGTGAGGGTTCCCATCCCCGCCACACAGAAAACCCTACGGCAACAAAACCCAACTACACACTCCAAGGGCAGCATCTCGCTCAAGCCATATTTGCCAGTGGAAACGTAACCAGAAGTTAAATTTGTGCCTCGGGGCCTGCATTCTGATACACTCGCACACACGCTTGCACACACTCGCACTCTCTGGGTGTGCACACGCTTGCACACACTCGCACTCTCTGGGTGCTTTCCTGTTGTTCCCATAGTAACTATGTGGGCACAATGCAGTAACATGACCTTTCAGTGCACACAGCCTTTAATTAAAATCTGTTTGTCCTTGAACAGGCTGCTTGCCAGAGTATCTGACTTACCTAATTAACATCACTCCTCAGTTTGGAACCTAAGCAAACAATTGGAAGGGAGAGGAGGCTTTTTCCCCGCATCACACTTTGCCAAGTCTTTGCTGCCATGTAAAGGGACAGTAGTCAAGGATAGCAATTATTAATAGAAATACAACCCACTTCTAAAACCCACCTGCCCTTCCCACATCCTCAGGGCCCCACAGCCAGAGCTAGTTCTGGGAAGCAACTTTGCATGCAGTTCAGTCACTGCGGGCTTAAAAGCTCTCAAATGCAATGCCAAGGGCAGAGGAACCAACTAAAGGTCAATGAACAATAAAACACCACACATGTAACAGCTTCTAAAGGCCATAGCTCAACTGTCCATAAGAAAAAGACCGGAAGGGCGATTTAGGCAGAAGATAGAAATCTGCTGGTCAAGTGAACCAACCTGAACCACCTTGACAGGCTGGCAAAGGAAAGGGAAAACAGTGAGTATAGACAGATTCCAGTCACAGCCTCAGTTCCTCCCACATGCCTGAACCCTCCCCTACCTCTTATTCTGCAGGTTATGCATTTTCTGAACATAAACCCAGAGCTCCAAGACCACTGGCAGAAGGAGGCAGCAGAGCCGAGGTCTACTTGGAACAATTTTGCAGACAGGTGTGTCTGTTGAAGTTCACAAGTAGGATCTAGGGGTTTGAAGATGCTGATGGCATCGTCCTGTTCATACAACATTCACCGCTCTCCAGTTTTCACTCCATCTGCTTGGGCAACATTACCAATAAATTGCTGGAATCTTGAACTTTGTTTATCTGGGACAGTTCTTTTTCTCTCCATATGCTGCCCTTGAAAGGGAAGTGAAAAGGAGCATTGTTTTTGTTTCCAGAGACCTAGAGAAGGTAATGTCCTTTTTCCTCTAAGAAATATAATATCCTTCATCCACTGTTGGTTTCAGGCACCAGATAGGTGAGTTCACAGCTGAAATCCAGAAACAACAGTGTCTTGGTTCATTCATGTATTTTCGGCGCTGCCCAAAGAAGAAAATGGGCCCTCAAGGAATCCATGAGATGGCCAGAGTCAAAGGCAAGCATCTCCCTCCTTTCTGAATTGGTCTCTTCCCAAAGCACTTTGCTTCTGTGGTCGCATCAGCTATTCCTGTTGGTGCCCCTTTGCTCCAAGAGCAGAAAGACTTCTGCTGCTATGAACCTCTCCTTGTCAGGTGAGGAGCTCTCCAAAAGAGGGTCATCTTTGGGCAGAAACACACATTAGTTTGACAGGTTCCAAAGTGGCCTCATCCATCTGCCTCCCAGGAAGCCTTGCAAATTCCAGAAATTATCTGAGCAGTTCTCAGACTAGGGAAAAGCAGGAGAAGGCAGATCCCACAAAGCATATCCCTGTCCATTTAAATGGGCTCCAAAACATCCCCATCTGAGAAGACACAGCCCTCTACCCCCCAGGTATTAAGTTTCTCCTCTGCTGACACACAGGCAACATGCCTGGGCCTGTATCACCTCACCAAGCACCTACTATTCACGTCTTAATACCAGACAAGAAGATTCAGTCCCTCCTGAGCCAGCAAATTACTGCTGACAAGCTGAAGGTGCTGGGCTTGGCCATATGGTGTGGTTCAGAATAGAGACACTGCAGAATATGAGCTGCTTTTCTTAGTTCTACAGCTAAGATGCTAGAGCTTGTTACCACAATTCCCCCACTGCTCAACCTTTTAGCTAACAGCATGGTATGTCCCTGCCTCTGAGTCTCAACAAAGACACAGTGCGGGGATGCTCACTTGGAGCAGCCCCTGTTCATAAGCCTTGCCCTAAATCAGTGCAAACCACTCACACAGCTTTGTGCGTTCCTCTAGATAGGCAGGATTTCCAAGTATTGGCAGAAGCCACATCTCAGAACTCCAGGCCCATCACAAGCAGCCAGGAAGGTCTGTCAAGTCCCAGACCAAAAGACTACATCACATACAGCGAAGTGTTTTGTTCTGCACACATGGAGATCACAGAATCACTAAGGTTGGAAAGGACCTTCAAGATCATGAAGTCCAACCATTAATCCAGTGCCACCATGTCCCCTAAACCATGTACTGAAGCGCCACATCCACATGTTTTTTGAACACTTTTTTTTTTTAACAATGGCAGACTGCCCCATGCAGTGCCTCACTTGGATGTGTCTGCAGTCTTGGAAGCTTGACTACCCTACGTTCTCCTCAAATGGATCTTGAGCTTGTTTGGAGGTTCTAGCATGGGAACGCAGCTACCATATACCCTTGACCGATGAATGGTACGCCTCTATCGGGGAAGGTCGTCCTCTTCGACCGAGCGCACAGCTTTGGGAGGGACACACATGGAGTGGTGAGGGAGGAAGGGGACACCCGTCTAGCCAGTCAGATCAGCCGAATCAACCCTGGCGATCAATGGGGTGACACATGTCACAGCCAGATCACCCTCACATCCAATGTCATGTCAAGTCCGGCCACGTAAGAATAAAGTTTTGAAGACACCAGTTGTAATCTAGCAATCAGAACAGTGCAGGTGTATGCAGCAAAGAGTCCCAGCATCAGTTCCCAACTGAAGCACTAAGCAAGTCCCACAGCTCCTTTGCACCTTGAGTTATGTTCACACCTGTAAAACTGCAATGAAGGGGGCTCACAGAGCACTTTGAGATCCTTTGCAAAAATTACTTCAAAAAGAAACAACAACAAAAAGCACAAATCTTTTAAAAGCAGTAAGAGACCAAATATAAACCTAATGTTTGGCCACAAATGAGTTAGCCAATCTGCACGGCATTCTGCCAGAGGAATGAGTGGCATAATGCTGGCAGATCACTTGGTCCCCAGCAATGCGACGGCTGTGAACATCAAACCCGGGAATGGATGTTGGTTCTGACACTCATATGAGGCAGAAAAGGGTGAACTTCCACCATGTGGTGACAGGGATGAGAAAGTATCTTCCCAATCCAACACAGGGCAGGGCCACCCTCCCTCTTAACTTCTTTAAGGGATAACTGATCTGAAGGCAGGAAGACACGAGAACAGGAAGAGCAGATACTGTCTTTAACAACAAGATTTCCCAGGGTCACCCATCACTGTCAAATAGCAGCTAATGATGATCTGTATCACAGATTGCCTTTCAGCTGCCTCGCCTTAAGAGTGAAAATGTTCCATTACAAAAGATGCACAGGAAAAATGCAAGGACTCTCACACATCAAATGTTTTCAAGCAACACAGTAATACAGAGAAGGAGGCGAAGGTCCCAGGAGTGCTGGGGATGCCAGGAATACTGCCAAGTAAAAAACAAAGCAAACAGCACAAGGTGTCAGTGCCATTAACAATGATCACCATGACTGCTGTCAAAACAGCACTATAATTAGGATTTGGGTGATGATATAGGTCCCTAGAGGGGGAACACTACTTATAACACATGTTCAGAAACTTAGAGCTACAGTCAGACCTCCCAACACACCGCTCTCCCCCAAATCTTTGCACCTCCTTTGCCAAGTATTACAAGAAAATAACACTGCATGGACAACATCACACTTGTCCTCCCGCTGCTAGGCTGGAAAATAACAGTGCAGGCTGCCTTCAGCCAAGAGCTATTCTGCTGGATCATGGGCTACACAATGACCTGAAGCTCAGGGCTGCTGCAGCTCCTGCAGCCCAGGAGGTAACAGCCACAGAAGCCAGAACAGGACACAGAGACATCCCACCTCTCAGGTCTGCACCTCAGCTCCACATCTGCTCCAGGCAGACAGAAAAACAGAAGACCATACAGTGTCCAGCAATTCACCTTGTATTATGCCAACCCTCCCTTCCACACATTCGGGGCTGCCTTGTTTGGACTGTCTTGCTCACAGCACTTATCCTGCTGCCAACAAATCCATCAAGCTATGCAGAAAATCATCACGACACAAGACAGAGCTAGGAGACAGTTGCCTGCTGCCTTAAATATTGTAAATCTCACAGGGCAAAAGAACCTCTTCCTGCCCGCAAGGTGAAACTGCCTTTTTTTTAAAAAAAAAAAACAAAAAACAAAACAAAGATATTTATAGGTATTTGATTCATATTAGTGGGGGCGATTGCAAAACCCATTCCCAAATCAGAGCTGCCGTAGTTCTAAAATCAGGAATAAACCCCAAGCTTTTAGACAGGAGACAAGGCAGAAAAAACCCCACCAAAAACACCAACAGTAGTAAAAAAAACCCCTCAGTATATCTATTGATAGGAATTAATGAAGCAACACATTTTAGTATCTCACTTGCAATCTGATTGAATTTTATACAAAAACAAATGTAATTTCAGAGCACTGATGACAGGGGCAATTAAACATTTTTTCCCAATCAAAAAGGGATCAAGTTTATCAAGTGCTCAGTGTAAATGTATATTCACCAGCTTAACTAACTAAATATGCATTTAAATAATTAACTGGCAGCACCATCCTTAAAGAAAGTAATCAAGCTGGGAGTTGCTCCCCTTTAGTAATTTCCTCTCCTAGGCTTCGCACAGCTCCTGTACGTGCAGGAAAAGCAGCCGATGACACTCAACCACAAGGTAACACAGCCAGGTAGGAGCTGCTTGAATTCCCTAGGGATGGTTCCCCTTCACTATGGGACACGACATAAGGACCTCGCATCCCACATGAACCAGCTCATGCTTCTCCTATGCCAAAGACCACGCTGTGCTTGATGGAGGGTCTGACTATTTTCATGGGCTTCCCCACATGACGAAAGCTATCCCAGATCCTCCTGATGCACAGCCCGAATTTATTCACAGTGAACTTATACCTGTTTAACCTTGGGCCAGCACTGCAAGCCAGACTAGACTGCTCTTCTCTGCCTGGAGCACTCTCACGATGTGCTTCAGGCAGATCCTCGCTGGCTACTCTGCTCCAGGCAGGGTCCTCGCTCCTCGTAAAGTGCCACAAGAGGCTGGGGGCTCACGTCATCGTATCACCAGCACATACAGAGCTGCCTCTCTCTCTCACTTGCTCCCAAATGCTGGGCTCCCATCTCTGAGAAGATAATCTCATTACTAGCTCCTAAGTACATGTGCTTGCAACTTCATACCATTAAATATCATCATATTGCCATGACACCAGACCTATCAATCATTCAGTTCCTCCTATTCAATACTCATCCTCCTCTGCACTGCTCATACCCCCCTATCATCAACACACCCATCAGCAACCTGCTCTGTTTTGCAGGGAGGGCACTAATGAAAATACTCAATTAGCTCGCTCCCAAGACCAGTTCTTGGGCAACATGGCCAGCAATGCCTCTCCACCCTGCTGACAGCTCCGCTTGCAGCACAGCCCCTCGCTTCCCACCCATGTCACAACCCAAGCACTAATACCCTCCTGACAAGCAGGTTCCCCACAAGGTGCCATATCAAACACAGGCTGGCAGGGAAGAGTGACAAACAAATCAAGATATACGTGAAATTAGCCTGACAAATTACTTTTGGGAGTTTGAAACTAGCACACAGAAGCTGGTTTCCCTCCAGTTGAGGGAGGGCAGAACCTCTGGGGCACTCTGACCTACATGTCACCTTATAAACGAGGGGAAGGAAAA